GAATGCTTATTTTGTTGAATGCTATTTCTTCATCTATTGACAGGATCATATGGTTCTTATTCTTTCTTTTATTAATGTGATGTATCACATTGATTGATTTGCAAATATTGAACCAGCCCTGCATCCCAGGAATGAATCACACTTGATCATGGTGGATAATTCTTTTAATATACTGTTGAATTCAATTTCCTTGTATCTTGTTGAGAACTTTTGCGTCCATTTTCTTCAGGGATATTGGCCTGCAGTTCTCCTTTTTTGTTGACCTCTGTCTGGTTTGAGAATCAAAATAATGCTGGCTTCATAGAATGAGTCAAAAGTTTTCTTTTCATTCCTGTATTTTTGGAACAGCTTGAGAAGAATAGGTATGTACTCAACTTTAAATGTCTGGTAGAATTCCCCAGGGAAGCCATCTGGTCTAGGACTCTCTTTTTTTTTTTTTTTAATTGATTTCTGAGAGAGAGGCAGCATGAGCAGGGGAGGGTCAGAGAGAGAGGGAGATACAGAATCTGAAGCAGACTCCAGGCTCTGAGCTAGCTGTCAGCACAGAGCCCGATGCGGGGCTTGAACTCACGAACTGTGAGGTCATGACCTGAGCCAAAGTCGGACGCTTAACAGACTGAGCCACCCAAGCGCCCCTAGGACTCATATTTGTTGAGAGATAACTCATATTTGATAACTGATTCAATTTCTTCACTAGTTATGAGTCTGTTCAAATTTTCTAGTTCTTCCCATTTGAGTTTTAGTACTGTGTGGGTGTTTGGGAACTTGTCCATTTCTTCCAGGCTGTTCAGTTTGTTGGCATATAATTTTTCATAGTATTTTCTGATAATTGCTTATATTTCTGAGATGTTGGTTATAATAAATCCATTTTTAGTTGTGACTTTATCTATTTGGTTCCTCTCTCTTTTCTTTTTTATAAGTCTGGCTAGACGTTTAGCAATTTTGTTTAGTTTTTCAAAAAACCAACTCTTAGTTTCATTTTCTGTTCTACTGTTTTCTTGGAATCTGTATTGTATATTTCTTCTCTGGTATTTATTATTTTTCTTCTTCTGCTGTGTCTAGGGTGCTTTCTGCTCTAGTTCCTTTAGGTGTGCTGTTAGATTTTGTATTTGGGATTTTTCTTGTTTATTGAGATAGTCTTGGGTTGCAATGTATTTTCCTCTTAGGACAGCCTTTCCTGCATCCCAAAGGGTTTGGACTGTTTTGTTTTCATTTTCATTTGTTTCCATATATTTTTAAATTTCTTCTCCCCATTTGTTCTTTAGTAGGGTGTTCTTTAACCTCCATGCTTTAGGTGGTTTTCCATACTTTTTCCTGTGGCTGACTTCAAGTTTCATAGCATTGTGATCTGAAAGTGTGCATAGTATGATCTCAATTCTTTTATATTTATTGTGGGCTGTGTTGTGACTCAGTGTGAGACCTATCTTGGGGAATGTTCCTTGTACACTCGCGAAGAAAGTATATTTTGCTGCTCCAGGATGTAGAGTTCTAAATATATCTGTCAAGTCCATGTGGCCCAGTGCATCATTCAGGGCCATTGTTTCTTTACTGATTTTCTGTCTAGATGATATGTCCATTGGTTTAAATGGAGTATTAAAGTCCCCTGAAACTACCATATCTTACCAATAATATTGCTTATGTTTGTGTTTATATATTTGGGTGTTACGAATTGGGTGCATAGACATTTACAATTCTTAGCTCTTCTTGATGGATAGTCGCTGTAATTGTTATATAATGCCCTTCTTCATCTCTTTTTCAGCTTTTAATTTAAAGTCTACTTTGTCTGATATAAGTATGGCTACTCCAGCTTTCTTTTTATTACCAGTAGCATGTTAGATAGTTCTCTGTCCTCTCACTTTCAATCTGAAGGTGTCCTCAGGTCTAAAATGAATCTGTTTTAGACAGAAAATAAATGAGTCTTTTTTTTTTTTTTAATCCATTCTAATACTCTATTTCTTTTGACTGGAGTATTTAGTCCATTTTACATTCACTGTTATTGTCGAAATAAATGGGTTTAGAATCATTGTGTTATCTGTAGATTTCATGCTTGTAGTGCTGTCTCTGGTACTTTGTGGTCCTTGCAACATTACACTCACAGATTCCCCCTTATGGTCTCTTTTAGGGCTAGTTTAGTGGTGAAAAATTCTTCAGTTTTTGTTTGTTTGGGAAAACCTTTTTCTCTCCTTCTATTCTGAATGACCGACTTGCTAGATAAAGGATTCTTGGCTGCATATTTTTCCTGTTCATCACATTGAAGAATTCCTGCCACTCCTTTCTGGTCTGCCAAGTTTCAGGAGATAGGTGTGCTAATACCCTGATGTGTCTACCTTTGTATGTTAAGACCCATTTATCCTTAGCTGTTTTCAGAATTTTCTCTTTATCCTTGTATTTTGCCAGTTTCACAATGATATGTTGTGCAGAAGATCGATTCAGATTACGTCTGAAGGGACTTCTCTTGGATTTCAATGCCTGTTTCCTTCCCTAGATTGGAGAAGTTCTCAGCTACGATTTGTTCAAATGCCCCTTTAGCCCCTTCCTCTTTCTCTTCTTATTTAGGAATTCATATGATACAGATATTGTTCCATTTGATTGAATCACTTAGTTCTCTAATTCTTCCCTTATGATCCTGTTTTTTTTCTCTCTTTTCCCCAGCTTCTCTTTTTTCCATATTTTTATCTTCTAATTCACCTATTCTCCCATCTGCTTCTTCAATCCACCCAGTGGCCACCTCCAATTTATTTTACACTGCATTTATAGCATTTTTTAATGCATCACGATTATTTTACAGTTCCTTGATCGATGTAGCAATAGATTCTCTGCTGTTTTCTTTGATTTTTTCAATCTCAAAGATTAATCTTATGACTATTATTCTAAACTCTTGTTCAGTTATGTTGCTTATATCTGTTTTGATCAATTATTTCTCTGTCCCTTCTTCCTGGAATTTCTTTTGAGGAAAATTCTTCTGTTTCATCATTTTTGCTAGTTTTCTGTCCCTTATGAGTTTTAAAACTTGTTATGTGCTCTGCATCTGTGAGCACTGCTATATTAAAGGGGGGTCATGCACTGTCCAGGGCCTGACCGTTCAAGAAGTGTTGTTTTGTTTTGTTTTGTGAGTGTTATTTGTTCTCTGTTGTTGTGCCTTTGGTTATTTTATTTCTTTATTCGTAGTCATGTTTTGGACCCTCCACCAGGTGTGACTTTATTTGTTCCTTGAAGTAGCCCTGGAAAGGAAAACAAACAGACAGACAAACAAACAAACAAACAAACAAACAAAAACCATTGGAAAGCAAAAAACTAGAAACACCAGGTACAAATAAATAACAAGTTGGAGGTGGGGCTGATGGAAGAGGACATACAAATAGTGAAATGACAGAGGTGGGGGAAAAGAAAACATAAACATTGACCAGGCAGAGAGACTAAGCGACTTAATCCACAGAGAGAGAAAGGAAGGCAAAGAAGAAGGTGTAGAACATGTATCAAGAGAATGGATTAAATATATCTTCTTAAATAAACCAACAACCAGAGTAACCAAACTAGAGGAGGGAAGAAATAAGAAGGAGAAAACAAAGGAAGAATACATCTAAATAACAAGAATTGTCTGAGAATTAATCCAGGCAATGCAACAGTGTTGGTCTGGAGAAGGGAGCCGTCTGGTTCCTCACCATCTATCCTGCTCCAGTAGATATGCAGTTACCCAGTGCAGTGGGCTGTAGTTTGGTGTAGATGGGTCCCGCATTCACTCTGGGCCCTGAGAACTGATCCCTGAGGCCCCACCTTGGTGGTAGTGGGGAGAAAAATGGCGACACCCAGTCTCTTCTCCACTGACACCAAGTCCCAAATCACTCCGTTCGAATGATCCTCACTGTGGCGCAGGCGCAGATGAGGCAGTCTTTCTCACTCGGTCAACTCCTGTGCCCTGGGGCTTGGCTGGGATTCAAACTCCCCCTCTGTGTACCCTGGTACTGGGGAAGTGCCTTTCTATGCTGTCCGATATGTGGTTCTGCCTGGTTTTGACCTGTCCAGCAGCACTTCAGAGATGGGATCACTTTCTCCTACTGTGGACCGCTCCCCTGACCTAGCCACCCATCCAGGAAGTGGTGGACGTAGGCAGAATTTGTCCTATCCTGCAGCACTCCAGGACATGCCTACATGGCCCATTTTATCTCTCCCAGTTTGCAGTCACCCACCTATGGTCTATCAGGTTGTCCCGGTGTCTCCCTGGTAGTGACACAGTCTCTTGTCCCCCCAGACTCTTGGACCTCAAAGACTTTGGCTTCAACCCTTATTTGTTTGAGAGATATGGGAAGTTCAGATCCCCCTACTTCTCAGCCATGTTGGCCCCTCCTCCCAAAACTTTCTATCTTAATGAAGTCCCAATACTTCATTTTTGTTTTTTCTTTCCCTTTCTTCCTGAGATGTGTCTACTAGTAGTTCCTATGGCTGTTGTCAAAGTGACTGCTGACTCTGTTTTCCTTTAAGATTTTGATGGATTCCCGTGTTACATTTAGGTCTTTCATTCATTTTGAATTTATATTTGTGTATGGTGTAAGAAATTTGTCCAGTTTCTTTCTGGTGCATGTGACTGTCCAGGTTGCCCAACGCCTTTTGAAGAGACTGTTTTTCCATTGAATATTTCCCCCTGCTTTGTCAAATTTTATTTGGCCATATATTTGTGGGTCCATTTCCAGGGTTTCCACTCTGTTCTATTGATCTGTATGTTTGTTGTAGAACCAATGCCATACTGTCTTGATGACTACAGCTTTGTAAAATAGCATGAAGTCCGGAAATATTATTCCTTCATCTTTGTTTTTCATTTTTAAGATTGCTTTGGTTATTTGAGTTCTTTTGTGGTTCCATAAAACTTTTAATATTGTTTGTTCTACCTCTGTGAAATGTGCTGGTGTTACTTGATAGGATTTGCATTGAATGAGTAGATTGCACTGGGTAGTATACAAATTCTAATGATATTTGCTCTTCCAATCCATGAGCCTGGAATATTTTTCCATTTCACTGTGTTATCTTTAGTTTCTTTAATAGTATTCTATAATTTTAAGAGTAAAGATCTTTTACTTCTTTGTATAGGTTTATTCCTAGATATCTTATGTTTTTTGGTACATTGTAAATAGAATCAATTCCTTGATTTCTCCTTCTGCTGCTTCATGATTGGTGTATAGAAATCTAAAAGATTTCTGTACATTAATTTTGTATCCTGACACTTTACTAAATTCATGGATCTTAATGTATCAATTCTTGCAATGTTTTGGTGGAGTCCTTCGGATTCACTACATAAAGTATTATGTCCTTTGTGAATAGTGATTGACTTTTTCCTTACCAGTTTGATGCTTTTTATTTTTTTGTTGTTGTTGTCTGATTTCTAAAGTTGGGAATTCTAGTACTCTGCTAAATCACAATGATAAGAGTGGACATCCCTGTCTTGTTCCTGACCATAAAGAAAAAGCTCTGTTTTTCCCCATTGAAGATATTAGCTGTGGGTCTTCTGTATATGCCCTTTATGATGTTGAGGTGTATTCTCTCTATCCTTACGTTGTTGAGGGTTTTTATCAAGAATGGATGCTGTATTTTGACAAATGCATTTTCTATATCTATTGAGAGGATCATAAGGTTCTTATCATTTCTTTTGTTAATGTGGTTTATCACACTGATGGATATGTGAATATTGAACCACATTTGCAACTCAAGTATAAAGCCCATTTGATCATGGTGAATTTTCAGTGTACTGTTGGAATCACTTTGCTAGTGTCTTGTTGAGAATGTTTCCATCCCTATTCATCTGGGATCATGTCTTGTAATTATCTTTTTTAGTGGGGTCTTTGTCTGGTTTTGGAATCAAGGTAATGCTGGACTGGTAGAATGTACTTGAAAGTTTTCTTTCCAATTCTTTTTTTTTTTTTTTTTTTTTTGTAATAGGTTGAGAATAAATATTAACTCTTCTTTTGATGTTTGGTAGAATTCCCCTGGGATACCATCTGGCCCTGGACTTTTGTTTGTTGGGAGGTTTTTTTGTTTGTTTGTTTTTTGTTTTTTTTTTTGCTGGTTCAATTTCTTTGCTGGTTATAGGTATGTTCAAATGTTCTATTTCTCCCTGTTTCAGTTTTGGTAGTTTATGCTTCTAGGAACTTACCTATTTCTTACAGATTGCCAAAGTTGTTGGCATATAGTTTTTCATAATATTCTCTTGTGATTGTTTGTGATTCTGTGGTGTTGGTTGTGATCTCTCCTCTTTCATGTGTTGTTTTAATTATTTGGATACTTTCTCTTTTTTTCTTTTTTTGATAAGTCTGGTGAGGCGTTTATCAATTTTATTAATTGTTTCAAAGAATCAGCTTTTAGTTTCATTGATTTGTTCTACTGTTGTTTTGTTGTTATTTCTATATCATTTATTTTTGCTTTAATTTTTATTCTTTCCTTTCTTCTGTTGGTTTTAGACTTTATTTGTGGTTCTTTTCTCATTTCTTTAGGTGTAAAGTTAGTTTGTGTATTTGAGACTTTTCGTGATTTTTGAGGTAAACATGTATTGCTTTATACTTCTCTCTTAAGAGTGCTTTTGCTACATCCCAAAGGTTTTGGATTGTTTGTTTTCATTTTCATTTGTTTCCATGTATTTTTTAAATTTCTCCTTTAATTTCTTGGTTCAGCCATTCATTCTTTAGAAGGATGTTCTTTAACCTCCATGTATATGAAAGCTTTCCAAATTTTTTCTTGTGCTTAACTTCAAGTTTCATAACATTGTGGTGAATAAATATGTATAGTATAATCTCAATCTTTTGGTATTTGGCAAGGCCTCGTTTGTGACCTAGTACACGATCTATTCAGGAGACCGTTCCATGTGCACTCAAAAAAAAAAAAAAGTGTGTTCTGCTGCTTTAGGAAAAAATATTCTGAATATATTTGCTAAGTCCATCTGATGTAGGATGCCATTCAAAGCCACTGTTTTCTTGTTGAATTTCTGCTTAGATTATCTTCCCATTGCTCTAAGTGGGGTGTTAAAGTCCCATACTGTCGGGGCGCCTGGGTGGCTTAGTCGGTTAAGTGTCCGACTTTCGCTTAGGTCATGATCTCGCGGTGCGTGGGTTCGAGCCCCGCGTCGAGCTCTGTGCTGACTGCCAGCTCAGAGCCTGGAGCCTGTTTCAGTCTGTGACTCCCTCTCTCTCTGACCCTCCCCTGCTCACGCTGTCTCTCTCTCTCTCCTAGAAATAAATAAAACATTAAAAAAAAAAGTCCCATACTGTCATTGTACTATTAACAGTGTGTGTTTTTTGTTTGTTTGTTTGTTATCAGTTGGTTTATATAGACGGGTGCTCTCAAGTTGAGGATATATATATATATATATATATATATATATATATATATATTTACAATTGTTAGATTTTATAGTTGGATAGTCCCCTTTATTATGATATATTGCCTTTATTCATTTCTTGCTACAATATTTGGTCAATAATCTAGTTTGTTTGATTTAAGCATAGCTACTCCAGTTTACTTTTGACAACCATTAGCATGATAAATGGTTCTCCACTTCCTCACTTTCAGTCTGTAGGCGTCTTTAGGTCTAAAGCGAATATCTTATAGGAGCATATAGGTTAGTCTTCTTTCTTTAAAATCCATTCTAATATCTTATGTCTTTTGATTGGAACATTTATCTCATTTATATTCATAATGATTACTGAATTATATGAATTTTGTGCCATTGTATTTCCTGTAAAGTTATTGTTTCTTGAGATTTTCTCTGCTCATTTCTAGTCTTTGTTGCTTTCAGTCTTTCGTTCCCACTCAAAGTGTCCCCTAGCTGGGTTAGTGGTCACATACTCCTTCAGTTTCTGTTTGTCTGAGAAATTCTTTATCTCTCCTTCTACTCTGAATGACAGCTTTTCTGGATAAAGTATTAATTGCTGCTTTTTTTTTTTCCATTCAGCACACTGAAAATCATGCCACTCCCTTTTGACCTGCCAAGTTCCTGTGGAGAGATCTGCTGCTAACCTCATTTGTCTTTCCTTATAAGTACACTATGTCTTGTTGTTGTCCTGCTTTTGTTGATATTGATGGGAGTTCTCTGTGTCTTCTGGTTATGGATGGCTACTTTCTTCCCCAGATTAGGGAAGTTTTCAGCTATAATTTCTTCAAAAAACATTCTGCCCCTTTTTCCTCTTTTCTTTTTTTGGGACTCTTATGATAGGTATATTATGATGCTTTATGAAGTCCCTAATGATTAGTGATCCAATATTTTTCTTTCCTTCTTCTTTTCAGCTTCATTATTTTCTGTTTTTAATGTTTATTTATTTATTTTGAGAGAGATAAGGAGGGAGAGAGAATCCTAAGTATGCTCTGCACAGCACAGAGACCGATGCGGGGCTCGACCACACAAACCATGAGATTATGACCTGAACTGAAATTAAGAGTTAGACACTTAACTAAGCTACCTATGTGTTTCAGCTTCATTATTTTTTCATTATTTTATCTTCTATATCACTGATTAATTCCTCTACTCTGTCCGTCTTTGTGGTCATTACATAGAGTCTGTTTCACATCTCAGTTATAGCATTTTTGTTTGGCTTGACTAGTTTTTAGGCCTTTAATGTATATGGTAAGGGACTCCTTGGTGTCTTATATGCTTTTCTCAACCTGGCTAGTGTCCGTATAATTGTTTTAAATTATGTTTCAGGCATATTATTTATAACTGTTTTGGTTAGAACACTGACCATGACATTTTCCTGATCTTTTTTTGGGAATGAAATCCTTCATGTTGGGATTTTGTCTATGTATCTTCTGTCTTGTAGGAAATGCTACTGTGTTTCTTACTCCTGAGAATAATGGCTATATTAATAAGAGGTCGTATACTGTCCATGTCCTGCTGCCTCAGCAACGTTTCTGGTGTATGCTGTGTGTACTTTGTTGTTGTGTTTAGCTGCTCTTTCTCTTAGGTCAGTCCTCTGCAGCGTTTCTTCTTGCCTGCAGTGGGGAGTGTTTGGACCTTGTCCAGTGTGTGGTGTTTTTTAATTAGGTATGCTTTGATCTGCTTGTTAAAAGAGGCTAGATCCTGTTTCTATTGGGCATAAGCTTTACAGCACTCTGGTCTAATAATTCATGGTCATTAGACTTGGTGCATGTTGGGGAGTTCTTGCTGGTTTTCTGTGGGAAAGGCCTGCTGCTGTTCTGGCTCTCAGGTACATCTGCTTTTGTTAAAAAAAAAAAAAAAAAAGAATCTGCAGAACACAGGGGAGAGAAGCTTGGTATAAGCAGCTCAACCCTCTACTGTGGGCACCTAGTTGGTTGGTCGATAATGTCTTTATGTGCTGAGAGGTGGGGGCAGTAAATAGTGTCTATCCACTCCCTTGTCTCTGGAAAGAGGAGTTCATGCCTGCCATTGTTCAGCAATCCTTGCAGAAGTCCGGATAATTGCCCTTCACTTGCCCCAGACTTCCTTTAGATTCCTTCCTTCACGCATTTGTTACAGGCCTCCTGCCCATTCTGCAGTGCGGTGTTCCTTTGTTTTCTCTAGATGTGTTGCTGTGTTTCAAAACTCCAAATTTTAGGGACCTGGCATGGTGCATACTTGCACTGATCCTCTGGGGGTGGGTCTTGCTTTGCGGTGGCTGGTGTTAGTTTGTTCCAGATGGGCAGCCCACAAACATGCAGGGCAATGGAATTATGGTAAAGTACAGCAAAAATATAACATCCAGGTTAGCTGCCCTCAGCAGGTGTCTTTGTCCCTGTGATATTCAATGGGGCAGTTCAATGGCACAGTGGGTCTTTTGTTCCCAGAGATACAGTGCCACTTCTCCCAAATGCATTACAAGAAGGTAAACCGTCTCTCCTAGTGTGACTCAGGAGATCCTCAAACCATGCAGTCTACTCCAGAGCCTCAGCCTTCCTTCTCCACTGGAGCACCACTGTGTTGGTCAGGCTCCACACCAGTGATGGCACGGACTTCTAAAACTTCAGTCTTTGAACTCCACATCTTATAAAAACTTGCAATAATTGGCCCCTCTTGTTTTCCCTGTCGAACGTTTTGGGGAAGTGTTTTACTTGTGCAATCCCTCGTTCAATGCTCTCTCTCTCTGTCTCCTTCTCTCTCCATGATCAGGGCTCCCTGCCCTCCACAGTACCTGTGATTTTTTTCTCCCTCAAATCATGTCTCTGCACCTCCTACCGTCCACATTGTGGCCTCTTTTCACCCTGTAGTTGTGCAGTTTGTTTTCTCGGTCCTCAGATCTATTTCTTGGATTTTCAGAATGATTTGATATTTACCTAGCTGTGTTCAAGGGACTAGGAAAACATTGGGTCTCCCTACCACTTTGCCATCTTAACTCCTCCTTGTAGTTCTTTTTCTTTTCTTTTCTATTCTTTTTTTTTTTTAAATGTACTATGTACTTGCCATTCTATTTTCACTGCCTTCATTAGGGGGGAAATAATTAGATAACAGGTAGCTCACACAGACCTATTGTAATTATCCTGATTTAAAACAAGCTAACCCAGAAAATTAGAACAATAAAGCCTGTGTCTCATTCAGTCAAGCACATGAGATCATAGAACCAAAAGAGAAGCACAGCTTGAGCAAGAGGTTGGAAAGTACATTAATTACATCGAGCATGCTTCACATTATGCACCACTGTTTTACAATTTTGCTTAGAAGTGACTTCAGTTGCAACTTAACTGTTTCATATGGGAAGCAAATTTTCCCCTTTAACTGCTTCCATTCTACCTCACTCATAGAATGGTGCAGGTAAGTCTGGACATAAACAAAGATATCTTTAAAACACATAACAAAAATAAAAATAAAATGTACTAGAAATTGGTTTCATGCGGTGAAATAAAAATGTGCAACTTCTTGGAATTTACAGACTTACAGATGCTTTGGAGTAACAGATTAATTTCAATAGATGAAGGTTAGGAACGATGTCACAGTACCTTTGCAATAGGGACTTTGTTTCTTTGAAGGAAGGATGATAAGGAGTGGGCGTAAAGACTAAAAGCTGGGAAAACACTAGCATAACACCAGGCATCCTTAATATGTTTGGTGACTATTGTAACTCAGCTGTGGCTTAGACGTTAGTTGCTATCTTAAATAACAAGGTTCACAAGTCTTAGGCAAAACATGGGAGAAAAAGAAAGTCAATGGAAAGCAAGTCAACACCAAGACATATTGTAGTTAAATTTGCAAAATGTAGGGATAAAAAAAAAATCCAAAAAACATCAAGAAAAAGAAGTCCCTAACTTACAAGAGAAGAAAAATAAAGTTAGCAGCAGATGTCTCCACAGAATATGGCAGGCAAGAAGGGCATGGCATGATACATGAAAGATGCTTATTGAGGAAAATAGGCAGCCAAGAATACTCTATCCAGCAAGGCTATAATTCAGATTATAAGGAAAAATAAAGAGTTTCCCAGACAAACAAAACTAAAGGAGTTCATGATCAGTATACCAGCCCTGCAAGAAATACTGAAGAGGTCTCCTTGAGTGGGACGGAAAGGCCAAAAGTGACAAAGATCAGAAAGGAATAAAGAAAATACCCAGAAAAAATATTTAACAATAATTCAATGGCACTAAATTCACATCTCTCAATAATCACTTTGAATATAAATGGAATAAGTGCTCCAATCAAAGGACACAGGGTTTCAGAAGGATTAAATAAAAACATCCATCTATATACTCCCTACAAGAGACTCATTTTAGAACTAAAAACCCCTGCAGATTGAAAATGGGGAGAGGGAGAAACATTAACCATGCAAAAGGATGTCAAAAGAAAGCCAGAATAACAATACTTATCAGACAGAATATATTTTTAAACCAAAGACTGTAACAAGAGATCAAGAAAGACAGCACATTATAATAAAGGGATTTATCCAACAAAAAGATCTAACAATTATAAATATATATGCCCTCAAATTGTGAGAATAAAACAAAACATAACAAACATAAAGTATTTCATTGATAATAATACAATAGTAGGGGACTTTAACACCCCACTTACATCATTGGACAGATCATCTAAGCAGAAAATCCACAAAGAAAAGCTGGTTTTGAATGACACCCTGAACCAGATGGACTTGACAAATATATTCTGAACATTTCATCCTAAAGCAGAACACACATTCTTTTTGAGTGCACATGGGACAATTTTCCAAAACTGTTGATTTACTACATCACAAATCAGACCTCAACAAGTACAAAAAGATTTAGATTATACCTTGCATATTTTCAAACCACAGCAATATGAAAATTGAAGTTAAGCACAAGAAAAACAAATTTGGTAAGACCACAAAGTTAAAAGAGGTTATCAGTCTGTGGAAGTTTTCTATTTCTTCTTATTTCAGTTTTGGTTAAAGAACATGTTTATAAAGAATGCAGGTGAAAGAACAAGTTACTGAAGAATGAAAGGGTCAAGGAGGAAATTAAAGAAAAAATTTAAAAATACATGAAAACAAATGAAAATGAAACCACACTGGTGGAAAACCTTTGAAATGCAGCAAAAGCAGTCATAAGAGGGAAGTACATAGTAATACAGAGCTATGTCAAGAAATAAGTAAAATCTCAAATATGCAACCTACCCTTACACCTAAAGGAGTTAGAACCAGAAAAGCAAATGAAGCCAAAATCCAGCAGAAAAAGGGAAATAATAACAAGTAGAGCAGAACTCTAGAAACAACAGATGTTGGTGAGTATCAAAGAAAGAGGAACACTTTTGCACTGTTGGTGGAATGCAAACTGGTTCAGCCACTCTGGAAAACAGTATGCAGGTTCCTCTAAAAACTAAAAGTACAAGGACCCTAAGACCCAACAATTGTACTACTAGGTATTTATCCAAAGTGTAAAAAAATGCTGATTCAAAGGGACACACCCACCACAATGTTTATAGCAGCGATAACAACAACATCCAAATTATGGGAAAAACCCAAATGTCCATCAACTGATGAATGGATATAAAAGATGTATTTATATACAATGGACTGGTACTCGGCGATTAAAAATAATGAAATCTTGCCATTTGCAAAAACATGAATGGAACGAGAGTATTATGCTAAGCAAAATAAGTCAGTCAAAAAAAAGACAAATATACTATTTCACTCATATGTGGAAATTAAGAAACAAAAAAGGTGAACATAGGGGAAGAGAAAGAACAATAAGATATAAACAGAGAGAGAAGAAAACCACAAAAGACTATTAAATACAAAGAACAAACTGAGGGTTGAAAGAAGGGAGATGGGTGTGGGAATAGGCTAAATGGGTGATGGGCATTAAAGAGGGCACATGTTCGGACGGGCACTGGGTGCTATATGGAAGTGATGAATCACCTGATTCTACTCCTGAAACCAATACTATATTGGTTTCAATATGGTAACTAACTTGAATTTGGATTAAAGAGATGAAGTAAATGACACTGAAACAAACAAACAAACAAAAGCACAGTGGAAGAGATCAATAAACCAGGAGATTGTTCTTTGAAAAAGTTAATAAAGGGGCACGTGGGTGGCTCAGTCGATTGAACGTCTGACTTTAGCTCAAGTCATTAGTTCAAGCCCCGCGTTGGGCTCTGTGCTGACAGCTTGCTCAGAGCCTGGAGTCTGCTTTGGATTCTGTGTCTCTTTCTCTTTCTACCCCTCCCCCGCTTGCATTCTATCTCTCTCTGTCTCTCAATAATAAATAAATGTAAAAAAAATTTTTTTAAAGAAAAAGTTAAAGAAATTGATCAACCTGTAGGCAGGCATATGAAAAAGAAAAAAGAAAGGACCCAAATAAATAAAATCAGTAATGAGAGAGGATAAATCACAACCAACACCACAGACATACAAAAAAAGAATTATGAATATTATGAAAAACTATATGCCAACAAACTGAGAAATCTGAAAGAAATGAATGATCCTGGAAACATATATACTACCAAAACTGAAACAGCAAGAAATAGAAAACTTGAACAGACCTATAACCAGCAAGGAAATTGAATCAGTTATCAAAAATCTCCCAACAAACAAAACTCCAGGGTCAGATGATTTTCCAGGGAATTCAACCAAACACTTAGCCCTCTAAAACTATTCTAAAAAATAAAAACTGAAAGAAAACTTCCAAACTCCTTCTAAGAAGCCAGCATTACCTTGATTCCAACATCAACAAAGATCCCACTAAAAAGGAGAAGTACAGGCCCACATCTCTTATGAACAAAGATGCAAAAATTCTCAAAAATCTACTAGTAAATAGAATCCAACAGTATATTAAAGGGATCATTCACCACAATCAAGTGGGATTTATTCCTGGGATGCAAAGTGGTTCAATATTTACAAATCAATGTGATATATCACATTAATTAAAGAGAGGGTGTGAACAATATTATCACCTCAGTAAATACAGAAAAAGCATTTGACAAAGTACAGCATCAAGTTTTGATAAAACCCTCAACAAAGTAGGCATAGAGGGAACATGCCTCAATATCATAAATGTCATATATGAATAACTCTCAGCTAATTTCATCCTCAGTGGAGAAACACTGATAGCTTTTTCTCTATGGTCATGAAGAAGACAAGGATGTCCACTTTCACCACTGTTATTTAACTTAGTACTGGAAGTCCTAGCCTCAGCCATCAGAGAACACAAAGAAATAAAAAGGCATCCAAATCAGCAAGGAAGAAGTCAATCTTTCACTACTTGTAGAGGGTATGATATTCCAAATAGAAAACATGAAAAATTCCACCAAAAAAATCACTAGACCTGATACACAAATTCAGTAAAGTTGCAGGTACAAAATCAACGTAAAGAAATAAGTTACACTGCTATATATCAATAATGAAGCAGCAGAAATGGAAATCAAGGCATCAATCCCATTTACAATTGCACCAAAAACCATGGCATACTTAGTAATAAACCTAACCAAAAAGATAAAATTATGTAGTCTGAAAACTATAAAACACTAATGAAGAAATTGAAGAGGACCCAAAGAAATGGAAAGACCTTCCATACTCATGGATTGGAAAAAATTTTTTGCTAAAGTGTCTCTATTACCCAAAGTAATCTACACATTTAATGCAATCCCTGTAAAAATACCACCAGCATTTTTCACAGAGCTAGAAAAAAAATCTTCAAATTTGTAAGGAACCATGAAGGACCCCAAATAGCCAAAGCAATCTTGAAAAAGAAAAGCAAAGCTGGAGGCTTCAAAATTCCAGACGTTAAGTTATAATACAATGTGGTACTGGTTTAGACGGTATGGTACTGGCACAAAAAAAGATGAATAGATCAATGGAACAGAGTAGAAAACCTAGAAATGGACCCACAACTGTGTGGTCAACTGATCTTCAACAAGGCAGAAAAAACTATCCAATGGAATGAAGACAGTCTCTTCAACAAATGATGTTGGTAAAACCTAGATAACCACATGCAGGAGAATGAAACTGGACCACTTTCTTATACCATACGTAAAATAAATTCAAAATGGATGAAAGTCCTAAATGTGAGACAAGAAACCATCAAAATCCTAGAGAACACAGGGAGTAACCTCTTTGACACCATTTGTAGTAACTTCTTTCTAGATATATCTCCTGAGGCTAGGGAAGGAAAAGTGAAAATGAACTATTGGGACTTCATCAAGATAAAAAGCTATTGCATAGCGAAGGAAACAATCAACAAAACTAAAAGGCAACCTATGGAATGGGAGAATATATTTGCAAATGAGATGTCAAATAAAGGGCTAGTATCAAAAATCTATAACAAACTTATCAAACTCAGCACCCAAGAAACAAATAATCCAGTTAAAAAATGGGCTGAAGACATGAATAGACATTTTTATAACAGACTTCTAGATGGCTAACAGACACATGAAAAGATGTTCAACATCACTCATCATCACTATAATACAAATCAAGACCACAGTGTGATATGACCTCACACTAGTCAGAATGGCTAAAATTTACAACACTGGAAACAACAGAAGTTGGTAAAGATGTGGAGAATTGGGAAAACTCTTGTACTCTTTGTGGGAATTCAAAGTTGTGCAACCACTCTGGAAAGCAGTATGGAAATTTCACAAAAAGTTGAAATAGGGGCGCGTGGGTGGCTCAGTCAATTAAGCGTCCAAATTCGGCTTAGTTCACGATCTCGGGGTTCATGGGTTTGAGCCCCACATCAGGCTCTGTGCTCTCAGCTAGCTCAGAGCCTGGAGCCTGTTTCAGATTCTGTGTCTCCCTCTTTCTCTGACCCTCTCCTGCTCTCTCTCTCTCTCTCTCTCTCTCCCTCTTTCTCTCAGAAATAAATAACACATTAAAACAATTTTTAAGTTAAAAATGGAACTGCACTTCAGCGCAGCAATTGAAGTAGTAGGTATTTACCCAAAGATAGAAAAACACTGATTTGGAAGGATACCTTCACCCCAATGTTTATAGCAGCATTATCAACAAGAGCCAAAGTATGGAAATAGCCTAAATATCTATCAACTTATGAGTGGATAAAGAAGTTGTGATTTGAGGCTTGTGGCAAGATGGCGGAGAAGTAAGGAGCTCCGTATTTGCACTCGCGCCCATACATCACACGGAAAAGATCTGAAACCATTGGAAACCTTAAAACCTGAGAGATTGGGAGAAAAATGACGCAGAATCCACTGAGAAAGCCTTCTAACGGCTACCTCAAGAAACAAGCCAGAGTACACAAGGTGGAGAGTCCCAAATATCACTACGAATAGGAAAATAAAATAACCAAGGTCCCAAGAAGAGAGACCAAGAGATACCATTCAAAAAAACACTCTCTGAAAGGATAGGCCCTGGACAGTCAAAGAGTCTTCTTGGATAGAGCAGCGCTCATAGATACAGAGAGCATAACAGGTCTTTAAAATCAACAAGAGCTGGAAAGCTAACTAAAATGATGAAACAAAAGAGCTCTCCTCCAAAGAAACTCCAAGAAGAAATGCCAGCTAATGAATTGCTCAAAACAGATATCAGCAGCATAAGAGAACAAGATTTTAAAATAATAATGGTAAAATTAATAGCTGGGCTTGAAAAAAACATAGAGGACATCAAAGAAACTATGGCTACAGACA